GACTTACGACTGGTTGGGTAGTCCTCGACTTACGACCGGTTTAGTCCTCGACTTACAACCGGTTTAGTCCTCGACTTACGACCGGTTGGGAGTCGCGGCATTAAAAAGGTTGAGAACCACTGGTCTATGGGGATTCTCAGTCATCCAGGTCATTCATGGTTGTCCCAAAGTACTTTTTTCAAAAGGCAACTGGACTTTCTTTTGTTTTTTCTTGAAAATGTTTCTCTTCTCATCCAAGAAGTTTCTTCAGTTCGGAGAACTGAAAACCGAAAAAAAATTCTTGGATGAGAAACGAAACATCTTCAAGGAAAACCAAAGAAACTCCAGTTGCCTTTTGAAAAAGCACTTTGGGCTTTTTATGTCTCTGCACAACATGCTTCTTGTGGTACATATTGGGTGTGGCTCCATTGTCAGTTTCTGGTATACTAGTGAAGCCCAGGGACTGTGCTGGTCAGGAAGCTGCTGCTATTGGGTTAACTCAGTGGACTACTTTTTTAGATGCTGAATTGAATTGAATTCTTTATTGGCCAAGTGTGATTAGACACACAAGGAATTTGTCTCTAGTGCAGAAGCTCTCAGTGTACATGCAAAGCGACAGAATAATAATAATCCTCCATTGTGACATTGCTGTCCTCTATCAGGAGCTTGTTCTTGGAATACTGGATTCTTAGCCTCTTTTTTTCCTCCAAAATCCACTTTTTGTGTGAAGACTTTGATTCAGCCCAGCACCCCATTTGCATTTCACCAGCACTCAGATTGTGTTGCCAGAATTCAGTGTTAAGAATAGCTGAATTTTAACAAGCAATTTCCATCCATTTTTCAGGATTTTGGATAGTTTTACACATGGGAATAGGAGTGGTTTGCCAGCAGGAGGCCTTCCCATCTTTATCCTTAACAGCTCACATCCCTTCCATGTTGCCTTTGCTTTTCCTTTCAAGGGCAATAGATCATGTCTGTTTTTCAACATATGTTAAGTTACACCCCTCTGTCATGTCCAGCCAGATATAATTACAGTTCAACACATCAGAAGGACAGCACATTTGGGAAGATTGGTTCGGGATTTCCAATAAAGCTTTGCCCTCCAGGCTCACAGCAGTATCAGCAGCTTTGTCAGGGTCATAAATCATCTATATTCAGCAATGGAATTAATTATATCACTCGTTTATTTTTATTTTTTTAATGCAAACATTTTGTCTACTAATTGAAGTTCTCAGGGTGGATTTAATCTGAAGAAACTTGAGGTTTTGGCAGAGTTGAATGGCATTTGCATACTTACATATTGTTTCACTGTGATCCCCTGGGACACCCCCTCCCCCTAGCAGCCAGATGAACTATTTGAAATGGAACAGCTTTCTGCTCGATTACCAAGTCTAATGTTTTATCCCATGTTAACAAAACAGCAGAGAATTTTGATAAATACATTAAAAAGTCCTGCAAGCCTGAGCATCTGTGCTTGGAAGTAACTTCTGTTTAAATCAGTGGGATTTGCCTTTAGCGAAGTGGGCTTGAGATTGAGATGAAGTTGAGTGGATACATAAGAAAATGGGTACAAAATTTGGCACATTTAGCCAAGAATCACCTGACCATAAATGATTATGGACATGCAGATAAGCAAAAAGTGGAAACTTTGGGACTCTGGTCAATTTGTAAGGATTTCATCTATTTTTTGTTATATCCTGTCAATTATTCAAAGTTGGTTTATAACTGGAAATTATTGCTAGTTAGAGATGATTCGGAAGCTGAAAAATCATTTCCAGCTTGATGGGGAAAGAATTCTTTGCTGAAATCTGAGCAATTCATTTTCAGCTAGCTTAAAATTCTGTTTTCAAGAAGTTGGTTATTACAACAATTCCAGAATGTATGGGTTATTCTCCCAAGATACTAAGTTGGGTGGGTACCAAGACTAAGTCAGGAAAACTGATTGCATAGACAATTTTGAAGGTCTTGTGATTGCAGCAGGTATATATATATGATAAACATTGGACCAGATCAGGGTGACTAATGAATTTTGGTTTGAAAGCCATTCCCACACTTATTTTCTTGTTGTTTTTTTAGCTGAAAAGTTATGCCACTGAAATTCAGCCACCCTGCCACTGAAATTTAGAAGATTGGGTCTACTGTTAAATGCTAATGGTGACATTTGACTACCAGTTTTTTCCTAGTGGCTAAAGAATAATCTAACTCACTAAGCTGGTATGCCCATCACGCTAAGCCACAGGAAAACAACAACCAACCAACAAATACAAAGTGGCTCCTGAACACACCATTCACCAGTAGCATGAGTTACAGGTAGTCCTCAACTTATAATTATTTGTTTAGTGACCACTCAAAGAGACAACAGCACTGAAAAAAGTGACTTGTGATCATTTTTCGCACTTACAACTATTGCGGTGTCCCTTGGGTCACATGATCAAAATTTGGACACTTGGCAACTGGCCTGTATAACGGTTGCAGTGCCTCAGGGTCATGTGATCCTCTTTATACGATTGTCTGACAAGCAAAGTAATGGGGAAGCCAGATTCACTTAACAACCATGTTGCTAATTTAACAACTGCACCGATTCACTTAACAACTATAGCAATGAAGATCGTAAAATGCAGCAAAATTCACTTAACAATTGTCTCACTTAGCAATGGAAATTTTGGGCTCAATTGTGGTCGTAAGTCAAGGACCACCCATACTCCTCAGGCCTCCACGCCCAGGAAAAGGTTGAATTGTGGAGTCCTTGATGCTCTTTGAGCTTGTTTGTTTGTTTATTTATTTATATATCAGGCTACTTTACCCCTATCTCCCTCAATGAGATATTTGCAGACATCTCATTGTTTGATTAGATAAAATCAGTGCTAGTGCAGGTGTGGATTGGTCTTCATTTACGGTAGCTTGCCCTGCCAATAATATTGGTGGGAATCTGATCTTCTCCATGGTGGGTCTTGAGTAGGTTCCTGTTTTCTGATTGTCAGATTGATTGATTGATTGATTATTTGTTTGATAGTTTGTCTCCTTAGTAGATCGTTGGTTAGGATATTGTTTGTCTCCTTAGTAGATCGTTGGTTAGGATATTGTTGTCTGGTGTTAACATCCTGCTTATCTGGTTGTTGGTTACTGAAGGGGTGTACTGGTATTGAAGGCCACTAAGAGAGCCAGGATAGACATACTGCTATCCTACTCCCCTCCAGAGGTTATCCACTAGTGCAGTGTTTCTCAACCTCAATAACTTTACAATTTGTGGACTTCAAGTCCCAGAATTCCTCAGCCAGCATGCTGGCTGGAGAATTCTGGGAGTTGAAGTCCACACATCTTAAAATTGCTGAGGTTGAGAAACACTGCACTAGTGCAACCAATACCATTTCAGTCCCCTACCCCAGCCATTCGATTAGAAGGAATCTAGATAATCTGCTCCATCCAGGGCCCTCTGAAACTGCAAAGCAACCATCTTCTCAACTACCTTCCCTAAAAGGAGAAAGTTGGACACAGCAAAAATTGTCTACAATGGATGATTTTACAAAGCCAGCTAACTATAATATATATTCAGTAACGTATGGTCAAACTAGCTATAGTTTAGAACAATGTGTGAATCTACCTAGTACAAAACAGGTTCTTAATTTCTTGGTAAATGTTGTTTTGCAGCTTCATGATAGCTTTTACTCTTCTGCCCTAGAGATGACACCTGTTTCTTGAGGAGTGTCCTTCTGCTCTGGATTTCTGAGATAAAGGGACAGAACTGACATTTTTCCATAGAATATAAAGTGACATACTGATACCATTTCATGGGGATCCATAATACAATTATATTGATGTCTATGTATTCATAAAGAGCCAGATTGCTAAGGTTGATATTAGTCTATTTTTTATTATTTTGTTTTACAAACACAGGGTTTGGTTTCCACCCTGTGTTCTGGCCACAAGTTCTGTGTTTGCTTCAGATAAATTTCTAGGCTTCTTTCCAGGTGTAAGCATAGAGGCATCAGTACAAGTTAGCTTAAGTCTATGTTTACAATACCCCACCCAAAATGCAATCAAGGAAGAAATATTCCAGTCAAGGCTAGTAGAATAAGCTATCTCATGCAAGCAACCAGAAATCTCCATTCCCCACAATGATGCTTTGTAGTCTGGTAATGAAATTTCTTTAAGAAGCTACCTTGAAGATCTTTTTGTTTCTCTCCAAAATCCAATATGCTGGGTAAAATTTTAAAAGCCAGCATTGCATTCTGAGAATATTGGCAATTTTGATGCTTCCTGTTTTTATTTCTACTGTAATAACTGTAGAAGTGATTTTAAATGACCATTATATTGTGAGATCTATTCTTTGTTTTGTTATTATGCATATCACAGTATAGGTTTTTATACTGTATGGCCGCATTTGTGCCTGTGCATATTACTTAACAGGCTTTTGAGCCTTGCAAATCCTTTGTCTGAGAATCCAAAAGAAAAATGTGACTACCTAGCACAAGAAGTAGGGGAAAGAAAATTTGACCTGTAGATCAGTGATAGATATGTCTTTGGATGCAGAAGACACCAAGTTTGTTGCCTGTCATCTCTAGGTAGGAATGGAGAAAAATTGCTTTCTGAAAGCTGCATCAGGACAGTTCTGATGCAGATGGATAACAGGTGATTATATTCACCCATAGCCTTGATTGTGGTATACACCCCATAGTTGGCTGGATTCACACTCCATGGTTTACACACTGTAACACACACACAAAGCATTTGATTGCTTAGCATTTGTGTGACCTTATGCAAATAAACCTGTGCCCCTCCTGATTGAGGGGGGTTTACATTATCCTGAATATTGGCTGAAGGACCTGTCGGTTGTACATGCTTTACTAATTCAAGCCTGATCACGTAATTTCATTTCTTCCCTGCGGTTTTTAGGTGTCAAAGACCCAGTTGGCCATTGCAAGGGGCGGAACAAACTGATGCAAGAGCCCTGGCAGTGGACTGAGATGGATTGGCTGTGACAACCTGCGGCTGGTGGAGGGGGGGAGGGAGTGGGGAGAGTGATGATGAAGAGTTCCTACCGAGCTGGCCTCCACCGGGAACTGCTGAATTCTACGTCCTCCGCCTTCTACCCAGTCAAACGGTATGAATGCCTTGTACCTTCTGTGGCCAAGTGAAATGCTCCAGAGCAGCGGTTCTCAACCTATGGGTCGCGACCCCATTTGGGGTCGATCGACCATTTCACGGGGGTCGCCAAGCAAGGCTGTCCGCCATTTTTTCCCCCCTTTTCCGATGGGTGCCTTACCTCTCTTGAGCTGGGCCAGCTGGTGGTCGGCCTGCTCCGTCTCTGCCACTTGCCAGCTACGCCTCGGCCGGCGCAGGGGGTGGAACCATGCATGTGCGGTGCTCCCAGGCAGGGAAAGTCCTCGACTTACGACCGGTTGGGTAGTCCTCGACTTACGACCGGTTTAGTCCTCGACGTACGACCGGTTTAGTCCTCGACTTACGACCGGTTTAGTCCTCGACTTATGACCGGTTGGGGGTTGCGGCATTAAAAAGGTTGAGAACCACTGCTCCAGAGCCTTCTGGCTTCTGCTTTGGGAATCACTTTCCTATTTGCTGGGCTCATTGGCTAAAATAATTGGCATGGGGATCTCCCCAGGAATGCCTATAGGAGGTTTATAGATTGCGTCCCTAGCAAAATGGTGGTGGGGGGTTGATTTATAATACACTGCTCATTTCAGAGATATAAAATGAAAGAACAGGCTGTTTCTGAATAAGACATAAGAAGACATCAAATTATTTGAATTATTTAAATACTGGCTATCCTTTGAATCCAAAAAGGGATTTTTCAGCAGCAAATCAACTATCATATAAACCGGTGTCTCTCAGCTTAGCAACTTCAAAATGTGCTGGCTGGGATTTCTGGGAGTTGGTCCACACATCTTAAAGTTGTTAAGGTTAAACCACAGAGGAATTCTGGGACAAGGTGAGGCTGGCAACTTGAAGCTGTATGGACCAACTCCCAGAATTGCTGACCCACTTGAATGAGCACCATCAGTTGTAGATTGCAGATTTTGCCACAAAATGAATTGAGACTTCAGGAAACCTCCTTTCATTTCTTTGGACCTTCCCTCTGGAGTCCAGTATAAGTGCTCTATAAGCAATGCTAGCATCCCATCTTCCTCTTCAACCTTTGATTTCCACATCCTAAAGGATGGAATGAATACTACTTAACATACATGATTGGAAAGTAACGTGGTTCCTGATAAGCAGCTTGCTTGCTCTGTAATCTCAGTTACTCTGCACGGCTACCTGTTTGCAGCCTCTGTGGCTCCCAAAGATGCACCCACTGAGGCAGCATCATTGTTTCCTTTTTTAAAAATAAGATATTAAATAGACATGCATTTGAATATTCATTACTCTGAATAAAACCAAAATTCCAA